TTCACTATGCTTAGTGTTTTGATTACTATATGATGAGGGGAATTTTTTTCTTTTCTAGTCTATTTGGTGTTGTGTAAGCTTCTTGTACCTTTATAGGCATGTCCTTCTTTAGGTTGGGAAAGTTTTCTTCCATGATTTTATTGAATACATTTTCTGGGTAAGCAAAGATTATTCTATTTCTACTATTCTTAGGTTTGATCTTTTCATAGTATCCTAGGTTTCTTGTATGTTTTGTGTCAGGGATTTTTTAGATTTAACATTTTCCTTGACCAAAGTATCTTTTTTCTCTATTGTATATTCAATGTCTGAGAGTCTTTTTTTCATCTCTTGTATCCTGTTAGTGATGCTTGCATCTGTAGTTCCTGTCCAATTACCCAGATTTTCCATTTCCAGAATTCCCTAGGTTTGCTTTCTTTATTGCTTCTATTTCTGTTTTCAGATCTTGAGTAGTTTTATTTGTTTCTGTCAATTGTTTATTTTTTCTTTGTTTTCTTGACATTCTTTAAGATATTTACTGATTTCCTCCAATTTTTTGGTGGTCTATTCCTCAACTTCTTTAAGGTTTTTTTTTCATTTTCTTTTTAAGGACCTCTATCATCTTCATAAAGTTATCTTTTTGGTCATTTACTTGTGCTTCAGCTGCATAGGTCTTATTTTTGCAGAATAGCTGGGTTCTGGTGGTGAGATCTTTCCCCTTATGTTATTAATTGTGTTATTACACTGGTGTTTAGGCATCTGGATTTGGGAAGATTATAGGTCTAGGTATTGACTCCTGTGTTTGTCTTTGTTGGATAGCTATTTTGTTCCTTGGTTTCTGTTTTGTCCCTGGTCTTTTGGCCTAAGTAGCTGAAGGTTCTGGTGACTGATGGGTCTTCAAGTCCAGTAGAGTGTTTCTGCTGGGGTTTTGGGGGCCTTGGATCTCTTGATGTTGTTTGGCCTCGAGTAAAGCTGAAGTCTTGAGCCTCTAGATCCAGCCTTGCCTCCAGTAAAGCCTGAGTCTTCTTCAGGAGTACCTAGTAGGACCAGCCTGCCTTCTGATAGAGATGCTGGGGCAATTCTTCCAACTGGTGTAACTGCACATGGGCCCATGGTATCTGTTCTTCCAGCTGGTATGGACTGTGTAGGGGTCTATGGCATCTGCTGGAGTTCTGAGGAAGGGCTGGCCTTGGTGAGGATGATGAATTGAGAGGAATTAGGTGGCAGTGTGGGTGTTGAAAGAGCAGAATCTAGGGAGGGACCAGCAGTCAAGTTGTACCAGAGTAATGGGATTTCCCTGGAGTTGGGGACAGAGACCAGCAGTTGTGGTAGTACTGGGATGGGAAGGGGGAGTCCACATGACAGAAGGGTCACTCACCAGTTATGGCTGGAAATCTGTTGGGGTTAGGGACAGGGGCCAGCAGCAGCAGGGCCAGTGACAAGCTGGGATGGCAGTGTTGGCTTGGGAAAGGTCATAGGGGCCAGAATCGAGGGAGGAATCCACTGGCAGGCAGGTCACTCACCCTTTCTGGCTTGTGTGGCCTGGGCCTCAGTGGAGGAAGCCCACTGGGGTTGGGGACAGGGACTGGCAGCAGCCAGACCTGTGACAAGCTGGGACGGAGTTGGCCTGGGGAAGGGTCGTGGGGTACAGAATCCACACAGAGGGGCACAGTTCTGCCAAGTGGGTCATTCACCATTATAGCTAATTTTCTCCATCTATTTTTATTGTAACTTACACACATTCTCTCCAAAGGTTCTCTGCCTTCCTTTTACAGAGGTCAGTTCTCATTGTGTGCTACAGAGCAAATCAAAAGATGTTTCCTGAAAATTTTCTTCCAATAACAAATCTTTTTCAGAGGTGCGCATGTCTGCTGCTCTAAAGGACAATGCATCCTTTACTTTGGGCTGTAGGGTTTTGTGTGACTTGTAAGGCTTGTTTTCATTAGCATTTATATCTTAATGAGGAAAGTTAATTTATATACTGATTTGTATTTGCAAAAAGAAAAGTATATTCCTCTCTTGTGTTCAGTCTTAGAGTGGCTGATCTGTCCTAATGCACATTGTGCTATGGCACTTTTAGTATCAGTAGTTTTTCTTTCCTTTTTTGTTACTGGGATATACAATGCATATAAAAAGTCATAAGGATACTTTATAGATTTTAATTACAAAGTGAGCATTTATGAGCCTATAACTCAAGTGAAGAAATATAAGCCCCTAGCTGGCCAGAGTGTGTGTTTTGTGTACCTGACCTGGCCCACAACCCACTCCCTCTAGCCTGGACATAACCACTGTCCTTGTTTTGCAATAAGCTTTTCTCTACTTGCATTACTGCTGCTGATGCCCTTCACCTGTTTCTCCTAGAGTCTGCCCCTGAACCCTGCTCTTCACTCAATACCATGCTTTGACTAAAGGGACAGCCCATTGTATCACCATGTCTTCCTTGGGTGCTGGGACTTAAGTGGAAAAAGGTGTGGCAATTAGGATCAGGGAAGAAAGAAAAGCTGATTCTTCTAAACTTCCTTGGGAAAAAAAATCTTTCACACTGTAGAGATTCCTGTTCCATATATTTCCCCTCTGGTTGATATCAACACTACATCTCCAAAGTATGCCATACTCTCTTTGTGAAGATTTACTGATTAAGTTTTGTAGGCATGTTTTTCATCCAGATGAATCTGGTAGAAATTGTGCCTTCATGCTTATAGAGTGAAATAATAATGATTTATAGTTGGACAGTATTTGGAGCACCAGTTTCCAAATAATGACAAAGAGATTTCGTGTTAAGTATGAAAGTCTGGCCCTAGCTTAGGCTTGTTCCCAACTAGCTCTTAAAACTTAAATTAACCTATTCATATTAATCTATACTCTTCCATGTGGCTCACTGCCTTTCCTTAGTACTGTATGTCCGACTTTCTCCTGTGTCACTGGCAAATTCCTCACCTCTTAGATTCTTCCCTGGAGTTCCTCTCTCTTCCTGAAAGTCTTGCCTATCCTCTCCTCCCCAAAGAAAGGGAACATAAAATGATGTCTGCTTCCCTTAACATGGAGTAGTGAAATCGAATAGAATAAAATTAAACTACCCAACAAATATACTGTTTGTCATCATGATAGTCTCAATTAATAGAAATGTTTCTTTTCTTTTAGGTTATAGGGAAGGTCATTTCCCAACATTGCACTCACTGTCTTACGCCCGTGTGATGTTATTATAATCCATGGAATGAACTTTTCAAGCTAACAGACATCCCTCCTCTGCTCCCTTCTTTCAATTCTCACTGTGCTGCAGATAGAGGACCAGCCTGTATACAGACTTGGAGGTACATGCCTAAGACTACATATAGCAGTGGAATTTGCTACACAGATAGGATGGTAGGTTTGAATCTTCGTTGCCAAGGGATTGAAATAGAACAGAAATCAAGGAAGGACAGACCAAGCTCGAGAGGCATTTTCAAACACACCAGTTGTGCTAAACAACAACAACAAAAACAAAACAGAGCAACCAAATACTTTTATGTGTTCAGTTTTATATAAAGTTGTGTTTTAGTGGAGGGTTATACTGTTATGAAAATCAGGACCTCTGTGATGAATGTGCTTGTTACACAATCCTGAAAGCTTAGGACCCATATAAAAGGTAGAAGGAGAGAAGTGACTTATGAAAAGTTGTCCTCTGTTCTCTGAACACACGTCACAGTACATGCATCTCTGCATTCACACACAAAGGCCCATGTACACACACAATAAAAAGAAATAAAACATCTGGGTAGTGGTGGCGCACACCTTTAATCCTAGCACTTGTGAGGTAGAGACAGGCGGATATCTGTGAGTCTGAGGTCAGCCTGGTAGACAGAGCGAGTTCCAGGACAACCAGAGCTACACAGAGAAACCTTGTCTCAAAAAACCAATATAGAAATCATTGAAGAATATATGTATTATATGCACATTTGAAACAGCATTTTCTGTTAAAGGTCTTTCCTATTCAATATCATAATTAACCCTCTCAATATTCAAATATTATGTTACCTGATTATCATTGAAGAACCCCAAATGATAGTCCAAGTTTGTGTGATTTACTTAGACTCTCAGTGTTTTTAGTCATAGGATTGCAGCTGAAGGGAGTAGATATGAATCTCGATATACAGAAATGAGCTCTTCTAGCTGCTGTCACCAAATCTATCACTTCCTTCCACAGAAGAGTGAAGTCAAGCATGCCAAGCAGCTCCGACTGAGTCCTGAATCAGGCTTGGATTATGTCAGAATTCTACACACTAACTCTATTGTTATTGTTTCTGGTTACAGTGATCATTACACAAACTTACTTTAATCATTTTAAGACTTTGATAACAATACAAATTACTCAACTTTAATAGTAAATTATTATTCAGATGGCATTAAAATTCACCTAGTTGGGTAACAGTACCTAAAGATTGATGGGTAAGTCCTATGTATATGTCAATAAAGCACTGTTGACCAATAGGGAAGCAAGATAGGTGAGACTAGGAGTTGAGGAGGATTCTGGGAAAGAGAGACACGGCAGAGAAAATGTAGCCCATCAGAGCAGTAAGATGTCCAAACCCTTTTCTCCGGTAAGAGAAATACTTAGATTAACAATTATGGGCTTGCCAGTAAGAAACAAGCAAACGGTCAACAGCTTCATAACTAATATAGCCTCCTGTGTGTTATTTGGGGACTGCAACTGTGGCAGAGCCCAAGCGGCTAGCAGGGATGGGGGATCCAAAGCAGCTGGAGGAGGAAAACTACACGTTACAGAAGATAATTTTAGATAGTTAACTTTATTTCACACTTAGCAGAATAAGATATATACTGTAATGTTTTCTGAAAATAATGATTCCATAAGACAATGCTTTATTTTAATGATCATATTAGATATTTTATAACAATATTTTATTTTGCAATTTTTGGTTTCTGCTTGCTAAAAACATAGGTGGGTAAAATTTTTAGTTTCAGATATTCTAGTGACATAATTCTGAGGTTTCCAGAACAGAAAGTTCCCATTTCTAATCCTACTACTATAAACTTAAGAATGTTTTATTTTCTGCAATATAAGCATTACAATTGTTACTTTTCTTCCATTAGTATCGAATACTAAAATCAGAGTATTCCAGTTTAGAGATGGTTTTTTCATTAGAAAAGTCTGTCCGGTCGATTCGAGAACTAGGACTGCCAACCTTGCTTAGCCAGGCCTTCCTACAAAACAGAAACAAATAGAAATGAGCATCATAGTACACACAGAGTTACTAAAAGATCCCATAAGAGGTAATAAAGGGAGTTCACATTTGCAGTGCAACTTCTGCATATAATGTCACAATGAAGGATGTTATTCTATATACCAAAATTAATTAAAATAAATAAATTGTTTACATTGTATATGCTGTTCTAAGAATACTATCGAGTATAATCTATAGTTACACATGAACATAGAAAGGGTAATAATTTAAGGAATTTACTTCATATTAAGATCATTCTCCCTGCCCCAAAAGAAACACTTCAAGGTCATTATTTCCTAGCTCAAAATATTTTTACAAAGTGGAAAGTAGTAAAATCGATTCACCATTCTTTTCATTACCAATTATATGATAGATTTATATGCTTGAGTGTGCACACATGTATCTGTGTATGTGTGTGTGTCTATGTATATATGCATGTCATATACAGAGAGAACATTACTGTAAAAGAATAGACATGATTTCCTCAAAACATTAAATAAAACTAGCAAAATTATTGCATTTAATGAAACAATCTAATTGTTCTGAAAATATATTTCTGCTTATTCAGAGCAGTGGTTATTGTTAGTAATGTATCTGACTTAATTTATGCATTTGAGACTTAATTGAATAAATTACTCTACAACACAGTTCAGACATTTCTCATGTAACACAGAGACCTCATATAACAGTTAAGGATTTTCCAGAATTTTCTTCTATTAGTTGGAGTACTGATTCAGTGGTTGTGATGGTTAATATTACGAACTTGTCAGAATCTAGAAGACATAAGCTTCCGGGCATGTCTGAGTTATCATCTAATTTATGCTGGGGTAAGAATGTGGGTGACACCATTCCATGAACTAGGGCCCCAGAATACATAAAAAGGAGAAAGCTAGCTGAGTACAAGAATTCATTCACTGCTTCTTGTCTGCTGATGTAGAGTCACCTGATGCTTCAACTTCCTGCCATCAAATCTCCTTCACCACGGCAGACTGTACCCTCAAACTCTGAGCCAAAATGAACCCTTTTCTAAAGTTGCTTTTGTCAAAGTAATGAGAAAAGTGATGAATGCAATGATCCTATATAGGTGTGTGTGTGTGCGTGTGTGTGCGTGTGTGTGTGTGTGTGTGCGTGTGTATGCGTGTGTGTGTGTATGTGTGTATGTGTGTGTGTATGTGTGTGTGTGTATGTGTGTGTGTGTGTATGTGTGTGTGTGTGTGTATGTGTGTGTGTGTGTGTAGGCTAGAGAGCAACTGAGTATTATTGCTTAGGTGCCATACACATTTTTTGTTTGTTTGTTTAGACAAGGTCTGTAAGAGGTCTGGAACTTGCCAGTGAACTGCAGCACTGGGGTTACTAGCATGAACACCATGATCAGCATTTTCATCACATGGTTTCTAGGGATCAACTCAGATACTCATGCCTGCAGGCAAGCACTTTACCAACTGAGACTTGTCCCCATAATGATGAGGCTGTCATTTACAAGTGATGATGTGAGCCCAGCTGTTACAGAGGAAATAGTCCCTCACATCCCTGAAATGACTCCTTGCTGTGAAACCACCCATGTATTCTGCTGGGCAGCATAATCTCATACTGAATTAAAGCTTGTATTAAAAAAATAATTTTCTGGGCAAAACTGATTGTCTGAAAATGACTCTTAACCAGGGAAAAGAATTCCAAGGACTCAAATTGCCATTATGCTTTGAGCTCTACCTACTTGTCTCTTACTTGAGACTTTTGCTGGTTGAGGTTAATTTTGCATAGACTTCATTTATTTTACTTATCTAATTAAAATCTTAAAAATGGAAATTTCATTTTCTTAGTTACTTTTCTATTGCTGTGATTAAACACCGTGGTCAAGACAACTTATAAAAAAGCATTTTAATCTGGAGCTCACTGTTGCAGGTGGAGGAGTCCATGACCATCGGGGTGGGAAGTATAGCTGCAGGAGGCTTGGTGCCGGAGCAGGAACCACGAGCTCACACCTGACCCACAGGCATGAGGCCCACGAGCTCACACCTGACCCACAGGCATGAGGCAGAGAGATAACTGGGGATGACTGAGCCTTGGAAACCTCAAAGCCCACCCCCAGTGACACACTTCCTCCAACAAAACCACGCCTAATCTTTTCCAATCAGTTCCACCAACTGGGGACCAAGAACTCAAATATATGAGCATATGGGGTATTCTCATTCAAGTCACCACACACTTGTTGAAAAAATTCAATTTTTGTGACAAACAGCTGACTTCAATTTTACTTGTCAAATATTCAAACCCTGTTGAAAATTAACATTTAATGAGCACTAACTCTCTGTGAAGTTCTCTATATGTACTTTTTCTTTGGTCCACAAATGAGCCTGTTTCCCAGGAGGTAGAGAGCAAGAGAACTCAGTAAACTGCTCCATATGGTAGCAGCAGAGGAGAAATGGCCAGATTCTGAATGCTTCTAAAAGACTGTAAGTAAATTTGTTCACTAAGTGCATATGGGTGTGAGAAAATAAAGGGGTAGGGATGACAGCTGTTTTTTTTTTGTTGTTTGTTTGTTTGTTTTTTGAGTAACTAGCTGGATAGAGTTGTTAGTTATTGACAAGGAGAAGTAGGGAGAGGGGAAGGTTTGGGGGCAAGATGAGCAATTCAGTTTTGGGGTGCCAAGTGTAAGATGCTACTAGCTATCCAGGTAAGATGTTGAGTAGGTGGTGGGATCTACAAGTCTAGCTAGAGGAAACAAAATCCAGAGTCATTTAGCAGACAGACCAGTATTGAACACTGTAAGACTGGTTGACATCATCATGGAAATGAAGATAGAAAAAGTGTGGGTGCTGTGACTGCATCCTGAGGTACACTAATGTGAAGAGTTCAAAAAGGTGAGGAAGAATCAGAACAGAGAGCATTCATTGAGCTCTCCAAAAACTAGGAAGAGTGTGGCATCCTAAAAGCCCATACATTCTTCAGGGAACAAAAGGAAGTCCACCACACCTATTGGTGGTCAGGAGAAGAAAGAATTTAGGAGCGATCATTACACCTACAGTGGTAAGGTCCTGATGATCTTAAGAGAAGTTTCTGTGGAATGAAAACCATATCTGGGTAGGTTCAAGGGACTTGTCCCTGGAGAAGATTGATTCAACTGCCATTAAGTGCCCATTGCTGTTTATTTAGGGGTGGGGCCTTGAGAGATTTCCCTCATTCATGTTAGCATGCCAACTAGTGTACTGCAGGCCTTGTTTAGGTTGAAATATTGTTGAGGTTTAATGGGTATAGATCCCTATCATACACAGAGGACACTGTCTCACAGTAGACAGATGTCCTGGTCCTCTGGCCTCACAATCTTTACCCCCCTTCTTCCAAGATTGCCCCTGGGCCTGAAGTGTACGAGTTGCATCTGGATGTCTCAGCTGGGGATGGGTACCTGGTCAGTGGTTTTCTGAATTCTGAACACTTCTGTGGATCTCCACCAGCTGTAAGAAGAAGCATCTTTGATGAGGGGGAGAGCTCCGCTATCTGTAGGTGTGAGGGTTTAGAGTACAGTGGTTAAGAATTGTACTGTTTTCAGAAGTGGAAGTAGTAGGTGCTAATACATATTTTCCTCAAAGTTTACTTAAATGTAAACTTAAACGTGAATACCTTGTAGTGGCAGTTAGCATATGGGCAGATAGACCTTTCTCTGTGTTGTCTGTTTTGTTTTAAGAGCAGTTTGGTTTGATGATGTCTCCACATAACTCTGGCACACCATCATTGGGAGGATATCCTGGGATACACACTCTGAGACAGAGACTAGCATGTTAATCAGAGTATGCTCTGATTTAACACCTCCTGGGAGGAAAGGAAATAAGACAGAACTGGATGGATGTTCTGAGTAACCTATCTAGAATGGAACTCTAAAGCCAGAAGGACCCTCCTATACCAACTAGACAAACAATGCTGTGCAGAGAAGGGATGTAGCCTTCACTTAGAAGACTGCTTTCTTGAGGTCATTCCTAAAGAGAGTGATGACAAAGGCCAATCTTCCAGCAGCACTCCCAGAGCCTGGAGGGAAATAGAAGTGGCACTTTTCAGTCTCTGTGCATGCCCTCAGCTCAGGGGGATGATTGAGCAGGAAGGGCAAAGGGATGATAACTGGTGGGACAAGCCCAGGGAAAGCTGGATAAAACAGGATAGGCACACTCATTAGGTTTAATTTTTGTTTTATACTTATTTGTTTGTACATATATGTACATGCTGTAGCATCTGTGCTAGTGGAGGTCAGAGCAGAACCTCTGGGAGTCAGTTCTTTCTTCTCACCATGTAGGTCCTGGAGACCAAATCCCATTACCAGGCATAGCAGCAAGCACCTGAACCCACTAAGCCATCTTGGCAGCCCACTGTTTAGAAGATAAAGAAGGTACAGCTTCTCTTTCCAAAAGGGAATGCAATATGTTTTCTTATTTTAGCTGAAGAGCAGTTTGGATGTAGAGATACATTTCCATGAAATAGCCTTCACATTCACAGCAATGTAGGAGCTAAGATCATTCACTGCACAGTGAAGGCACACAACAAGCCCTGGGAGACCTTAAGACTACGTTGGGCTTCCTTGGATGCTGGTCCTGCTAAGCTGGTCAAAGCCAGTGAAACCAGGGGTCAATGTCTGAGCCAATAATTTCTCAACAGCAACAACTTATCTAAGGGGGCCGGGCGATGGTGGCGCACGCCTTTAATCCCAGCACTCGGGAGGCAGAGGCAGGCGGATCTCTGTGAGTTCGAGGCCAGGCTGGACCGATAGCCTCCGAAACAATACAGAGAAACCCTGTCTCGTAAAACAAACAAACAAACAAACAAAAACAAAAACAAAACAAAACAAAACAAAAAACCCAAACCCAAAACCAAAACAAAACAAAAAAAACTTATCTAAGGGGATATTTAAATTTCTTGACAGATATTTTTGTATGAGACTCTCACCTCCCCAACCTAAAATGAATTTGTCTCCTGGCTTGTCCCTGAGTTCTGCTT